GATTTTTAAATGTTACTTGTTTGTTTTTTTCTGATATGACTTTTTGTTGAAAAAAATAAATAACAATAATTTTATTAAAAATATATTCAAAGATAGTTTCTTTTTTTTAAATTAAATAATCTCATGTAAACTAACAATAAAAGTTTTGAATTTATTTAAATCGAGATAAACTTGTTTAGTTAACTTATGTATTCGTCAAAAAAGTTTATTTAACGTATTAGTAGTTTTGAAACGTTTTAAAACTTATGGGAGAAACTCAACCCATAAATTTTTTTTTTTTTTTTGAGTTTATTTCAAGTATTAAAATTTCAAATATATTTATTTTTAAATTTAAAACCTTTTCTTGGTAATAAAAACTAAAAAGTTCTTTTACATTTTCCTATCCAAACAACTAACAATTTTTCGTAAAAAATATATGTTTGTTTGATATAGAATTTAAATCAATTTTTGTTTTAAAAACAAAGATTACAAATCTTATGGAAAACGCTTTTGATTAAAATGAGTAGATTTGTTTTCAAAACATTTTCGAATACAATCTTAAAAGCCAATTTAAAATTAGAAAACAATTAGAAGTTGTTTTCATAGTATTAAATTTTATATCGTAAAATTTTCAATATAAAAATATTAAAATATAACTAAAAATTTGAATTGTATTTTATATTTGAAATTATTTTTACATCACAATTAAACAAACCCTACATTTTTATAAACAATATTCTAAACTCTTCTCAAATAATAGTACAAACGGATCCTTAATATCCGAAATTTGTTTTGTTATATATATAAATAAATAATAAATTTCTTTGGAAAAAAAAAATAATAAATTGAAGAGCCAAATAAAAGGAGCTAGTTGGTGAGTGGCTGGCGAAAATTAGTGGGAGATTTGTTATTTGTCAGTCGTTGACATAATGGTTATGGTGTAGATTAATTATAATGGAGAATTTGGAACTTTCAATGAGACCTTAAACTAGTTTAGTTTTTCATATAATAAAAGTGTCGAAACACCTTGGATTGGTTCCACTTCAAGATTCTCTCTCTATTTGTGCGTCAATCCAACGCTACCCCTTTTTATGATTTTTGGTTTTCATAATTGAGTAAACGGCTTTTTCCCCACCCAAGTTTGCCATCACATTTCCACCTAAAAAGTTTTAAAATAACACTTCTCACCCAAAAATTATATTCAGATACCTCTAAAGCCAATTCTGACAGTAAAAATCTCTCTGTTATCACCATTTAAACTCTTTCTCTTCTCTACGAACCCCTCTCACTCCGATTATGATTTCTCGTAGATTGTTAGTCATCTGCAAAGCTAGGGTTATATATTCTTAACATTTTTTGACTGATTCTGGCTATGAATATTTAATCATTCCCACCATTCAATCCCCGGCTTCTACACTACAAAAATTCTCTTACCTTGGTTCTTGATAAATCACTGAACAACATTTGAGAAAGTGAAATGTATTTTGGATTAACAGAATATAAGTATTGGGGTAGGAAAGTGATATTTTAAACTTTTGGGTGGAAGGTCGTTAAGCACAACCTTGGGTGGGAAAAAATGTCGTTTACTCTTTCATAATTGCCTTCCAAATTTATCCTGCTCCAGCTCCGCTGCTACTGTTTCAAATGATGAAAACAATCGTTAAGTTGGTGAATAGTTTAAACCAAATTAAAAATTGTTTTCTTTTAAATCCCACCTTTCCTTTTTCCTTTTCCCTTTTTTTCTTCCTAATCTCTTTTTCTTTCCATCACATGTAAAGCATTAAAGATGGTTTGATCTAAAAAAATAAGGATCCGTTTAATGTAATTAAAAATAAGATACATAATCTTATGAAATACTTACGATAACATGGAAAAGCATTATAGCTGTTTAATCTATAATAATTTTTTGAGGTGGGGTATTTCACAGAAAAAAAAAAAAAGGTTAAAAAATGTATTATTATTTTAATATAGGTTATGAGATTTATTTCCCTTATACGAAATGGGTGATTTCTTTTAATTTTATAAAAGAAATATAGAAATACAAACTATTTTCTAAATTATACTAATATTAGTAAATATGATTTAACAAAAATGGAAATAGTAGCCTTAAGGTACATATTCTTACCGCCAGACACGTATTCCTGCTACCCAACAAAAACTATGGCACGTGTATGCACATGCAAATGATGGCTAGTTTCTATATTTAAATCCACAAAGCACATGCATAATTCATAAAAATTGTGAAATTGGAATTAATCCAAAACGGTGAATGGTAAAGAATTAAATTAAGCGAGGGGGACTTGTTTTGTTTGAATCTCTATGGCCGTGCGGTTCGGGTCCACCCGAATCTTCGGATAAAAAAAAAAACATAAAATATGTTAAAATATAGGAACGCACAAATTGTAAAGTGTTAATGCTACAATCAGCCCATCAATGCCTACCAAATTTCAGTGTGAATTCTAATAAGTCCATTCTGTCAAGCTCACAATTTGAAGAAGTCGGTGTTTTGTCTAGAATTTCTCACTTATAATTGGTCAAAGAGATTATCTCAAATCATAAGCTTTAAAAAAAAAAAATTAAATATTTTTTTATTTTTAAAATACAATACGATTTAAAATAAACTATTTTATATAAAAAAAATCATATAAGTGTTTAAATTTTAAAAATAACTTTGTTATGTTTTTTAATTTGACTTGATTTATTCTTATATATTAAAGCTTTTCTTTTTAAATTAAAACTATAAAGGTTTTTGCATTTTCTTACTAAACAATAAACTTTTTCATAAATTATATTTTTATAAGCTCTACTCCAATATGCTCTTCTTCTATAAGCTCTACTCAAACAATTGTATATAGTACCTAAATCTGACAGATAATTTCTAAAATTTAATTTTAATAATTATAGAAATCTAACCCAATAAATACTTTGAAACTTTTTCTATTCATAGAGGGTTTCCATTTTGTGGTCCTTGATATAAAATTCCCCGTTAATAATATACCCTTATGGGGGCGTTTGGATCATATAATTTTTATTATAGGGTATTTATTAATGGAAAGAAATCACTTTGAAGATTACTGGGAATATTTAGAAAATGTGTTTGTTGTTTGATAAATTGATGAATATATGTTTGGTTGGGAGGATAAGGGATGGGTATGTTACATATATTACTAAATTGCCCTCCTTTTTAAATATTAATATAATAGTATTTTTTTATTATTTATTGAATAATTTTCTTTTAACCCTCTACATTTAAATTTGCTAAAACACCCCAACCATATAAAACTTTAATTTATAGCAAAATCACCCCAAGCCACTGCTAGCCACCTCGTAGTCGATAGAATGTGCACGATTGGCCGTATATGACCCCGTGCGCCGACAAAGGCGAAATAGCCATGGATCACAAATTCATGGCTTTTTCACGGCCAGATCTATGGTCATTTCATGGCCAAAGATGTGGTTGTGAACGGCCACAGATCTGTGACATTTCACCCAAAGATCTGGCCTTTTCACGACCACAGATATGGCCGTAACGGCCATAGAAACCCAGATCTAGATCCATGGCTGGAAAAGGCCTTACAGACGCACGACCGGCCAGATCTCGTCGGTCTTACACCATTACGGCATTGACACCGGCAGTCGACGGTGGTGAGTCACGACCGGGAAAAAAAGTTGATAAATTAATAAAAACACCCCCACTCACCCACCCAACTGATTGCTGACAACCGACCACCACTACTAGACGGTAGCCGAAAGTTATCGAAATGGCACATGACCAACGAACCATTTTTGGCCAGTACAACCAAAGATCTAGATCTGGCCATCGTTTGGCCGTATATCTAGTCATTTCCGGCCAGATTCATGGTAGATCTAACTGGAAACGGATAGATCAGCATACGATCGAACAAATCCAACCTATCTTGCATCGTTTCGGCAGTCGACGATGGTAGCAGCAACGATTGGTGGCTGACAGTGGTTACTGACAAGTGACTATTGCTTGGGTGGGTAAGAGTGTTTTTGTTAATTTATAAACTTATATTTAGAGAGGTAATTGTTAAATGTTTTGAGTTGAATATAATAAAATTTGATTTTGATTTTGATTTTGATTTTGAACAATATTAAAACTGTTATGCCTGGAAAAGTAGGGTTGGAAAAGTAAGGCTAACGCAAAGCCCAGTCAGCATAAATGGTCAGAGTCTAGGTAAGTCCTACAACCATTCAGGCACGGCCACGTCGCATGCTGGCGTGAGCAGCATGCTTCTGCCAGTGCAGTGGGTACGCGCCATATTGACGAGAGGCTAGAGGCCGTCCACATGTCCAATCCCTGCATGAAACTAGGCAATCGTGCGAGTAAGTGAATAACGGGACACAGAGAAGGATTTGCACGGTACCTGACCTTTTTTTACGGATTCAGTAATTATTACCTCAATGTATCTTACTATAAATAGAGAACTTCTCTCCCGTTTGTAGGATTCGCTCATTTTTACTCTTGATTAACTATCTTCTCTCTGTAATAGCTTATTCTCTCTCTCTCATCTGTATTCTCTACACTCTAAAGTCAGCTCGCTAAGTTGCAATATGATCCTTCAAATATAAATACAATATCAGTGGACGTAGGATTCGTTTGTTTAAGCATCTGAACCACTTTAAACGTTGCCTTTTCCCCATTTATATTCTCGATCTCCTATTCACGTGTGTCTTTTGGGACAGCTCAACATTTCACACGTGCGTTTAGTTGGTGTTAAAATCACGCATCAACAAAAACAAACACGTTTTTCACTTTTTAGGATATGATAGGGTTGGAAAAGTTAAACAAACAAGAGGCATGTTATCTTCTTCTCTCACTTTTAACTGGAACAATTAAGGAATTCCTTGACGTAAAACCTATCTGAGTTCGTGGCAAATCGAAACTGTAATTTAATCATTTATGGTTAATTCCTTTTAGGCCATTCACTTTGAACAGAGATGCACAAGAAAACAAGAATAAGAAAAAAGAAGCAATCTGAGATTAAATAATATACAGATCAACTTAACATTGTAATCACAAAATCATGTCTAAGCTAGTATTACCTATTGGTAGAAATTGACACAAGCATCGAGAGTTGAATGCTACAAGAAAACATTACCATAACGTGCAGATCATGGCCATCCACAGCGTACTACACCATCCTCAAAAATCTTGTCGCCTTCATTACATCCACACTGCAATATTTTCTGGATTGGAGAGTTGTCATTGAAGGAATTTCCAAACTCAACTTCATATAAGCAACCAAGAAAATCTGACTTCTATGTTCCCCACTAGTATGTCATTGCATTATCAATTTTTCGTCATCTTGACCAATAAGCTTTCCTGGGATTTCGGCTATCCAAGATGTCGCCAAAGGTGCCCAATGCATCTTTAAATTTCTGAATTTTAAGAAAGCCCCTTATCATTGAAGCTTCACTGGCTGAGAACTTGGCTTTATCCATTACCATATCAATGAGTTTAACCAGAGTATCCTCCATTGATAATGAACAAAGTCCTTCAGCCAACATATAAAATGATGAGAACTCAGGCAGAAATCCTTTCTCTAACATCTCCACCACGAAATCAACAGCTTCTGAAATTGGTCCACCACCACTACATAACCCACGGAAAACAAACTTATATGTTACAGCATCTGGAGGATCACCTTTCTCCATCATTTCTCTAAAAAGCCTCATAGCTTCGGTTGTTCTTTTTCGTTTAAAAAGAGCTTGAATTACTGGATTATAAGCATGTGGGGTCAAAACAATTCCTTTAATCTGAATTGACCTCAGGAGCTTACTCGCAACCTCAACTCTACCAGCCTTACACAACCCCCCAATTAAGGTTCCATACGTAACAATATCTGGTTCACACCCATTTGAAGTCATAGTTTGGACAATATCTGCTGCCTTTTTTATGTCCCCCGCCCGACAAAAGTATGTAAGAAGGGAATTATAAGTGAACTTGTCAGGTTTTAACCCTTCCATTATCATCTGGTCCATGAGCTGAGCGGCATCCTCCACCCTTCTGATCTTACAAAGACCATCAATAAGGGTATTGTAGGTCACGGAATTTCTTGAAATCCCTTGAAGTTCCATCTCATCAAAGATCTCCTCTGCTTCTTCAATCTTTTTGAGTTTGCAGAACCCATCGATCAAAGTATTATATGTTACCACATTCCTTGCACAGCCTCTTGATTCCATTTCTTTCAACAGTCTCAAAGCGTCCTCTACCTTCCCTCTGGAACAAAGGCTGTCTATCAACATGTTATAAGTAAACTCATCAGGTTGACACACTTTATTTTTCATCTCCTCAAACAATTCCATTGCAACATTAAAGTTACTGGTCAAGCAAAGACCTTGTATAAGAGAATTGAATGTACAAACATCAGGCAAAATTCCCTTGCTTGTGAGAAAACGAGCTAGTTCCGTAGCCTCTTCAACTTGATTCTCTTTACACAAGGTACTAATCAAAGTATTATAAGTAACAGTGTTAGGTGAACAATCCCTTATAATCATCTGATTGAGAATTTCCACCGCCTCCTCAATTTCCCCCAACTTACACAATCCAGAAATCAATGCATTATAGGTAAAAATATCTGGATCAAACCCTTCTTGAAGCATCACATCCATGATCTCCAGCGCGTGCTTCACATGTCCTGCTTTGGACAAACCATTCACCAATGTATTGAACGTGTATTGATCAGGATAAAATCCGTCTTTCGTCATCTCTTCTATAAAACTCAAGGCATCATCTACCCTACCCTCTTTGCACAACCCATGAACTAAAACATTCACAGTCACATTAGTCACCTGGCACCCAGTTTCAACCATATGCTCTTTAATTCTCAATGCAGCATTTATGTTACCCTCCTCAATAAACCCTTGCATTAAGGTTGTAAACGTTTTCTCATCCGGAGCCAAACCATAGCCCGGCATCTCTTCCATCATCAACGTTGCAGGCCTAATTTGATGTGCTCTACACAAAGCCTTAATCAATATATTAAATGTGGAAACATCTGGTTTAATTCCTCTACTAGTCATATCAGAATGTGCAGTTTCAACTAATTTCAACTTATTCCCATCAACAAGAACATTCAATAAGAAATTATAGAAATGAGTGTCGGGTACCAATCCAAATTCTTGCTGCATCAACGGGGTTACTCCTAAAATTTCATCGTATAAATCAAACTTGGCGTAACTCTCAATAAAAATCAAGAAAGTACCTGGGTTAATTTGACAGCCAGAGGCCTTGATTTCTTCTAGAATCCGAGTCATGGAATCGAAAGAACCGACCTTTCCGAGTTTGGAAAGAATTTCTTCGTAGACTGACAAGGTGGGTGTGAAACTGGGCTGCTTTAAGGCCCAACTGAACAAGCGAAGTGCGGAGGATTCGTCACGTTGACGACGGAGGGTGTCGAGGAGCTGAGATGAAGTGAAATTGGGAGGGAGTTGGTGGGGGGAAGTGGAGAGAGAAGTGGCGGTGAGTGGTTGGTGGTGTTGTTGTGTAGAGGCAAAAGAGATGATGGGTTTGTGAGAGAAAGAGAGTAGTGGTTGTGGATGAGGCCAAGGGTAACATTTCAGACAAGAAGAGAATGACATTTTGTAAGCTTTCAGCTTTGAAGTGAGCTACGGCTAGACAGAGTTGGAGCTTTTTGCGGTCATTTTTTTGGGTTTCTGGTTCTGCAAATTTAATCCTCAACAGACGCATAGACAAATCGCGGAAGACGTTGCGCAGCTCAGCTATACTCAAAACGCACCGTTTTGTTTCCTAATTTGTGATAGATAACGCATTATCGTAGACCAGTTGTATAACCAGGCCCAATATCTTGAGTCCAAGTGTCAGCAATTGATCTTCACCCGTAAAGTACTTATTAACGACAATAAAAGAGAAATTACTGCAATATAAGTGGCCTCTAATTTGTGAATATATGGGTCAAAATTATCAGATCAGATTGGGGATACAGGACGAGAGAAATCAATTTTCAGGAACGCCAATCTCAAATTGGAATTTTTTTTTTTTTTTTTTTTTTTTTTTATGTCTGGGAGTGTTCGATTCAGTTTATGCGTATATCAACTAATCCTCTAAGATCCTGAAACTATCGATAGAGTAATAGTCCTAGTGAGGGACTTGAGGGGACTTAAATTCAAGAGCTCATAAAATCTTATTTTACTCTTTTGTCATCAAACCACACAGTGGTGGTTCTCAAATTGGATTTTGATGTGTGGTTAAATTCTAAATAGTTACGGGTGCTCCGTTTGTTTTAATATTTTTACACTATCCTATTCCTATAATTCTGAAAATACACGTTTGTTTTCCTATTCTGAAAATCATATTCTATTTTATTCAACACTTTAAACCCCTAGGTTTGTTAATTTAACTAAACACCACCCAAAAAAGTTTAAAATTTGACAAAAACACCCCCTTCTATTTTATTTAATAACTTTTAAACCCCTAGGTTTGTTAATTTAACTAAACACCCCCTCAAAAAAGTTTAAAAATTGACAAAAACACCCCCACTCACCCTCATTTGCCAGATTCCAACCACCACCACTGGAAGGTGGCCAGAATTTGGTATAATGGCGCACTACTGGCTGGATCTGGCCGGTAGTGCACCGATATAGCCTTTTCCGGACAGATCCATGACGGCTAGATCTTTGGCCATAGCTAGTCATCAACGACGGCCAAGATATGTCCATCGTTGACCATCAATGACGGTCATACCTTTGATCGTCGTTAACGACCTAACGCAACTAGATCTGGCCGTCCATGCCCAAATCTAACCGTAGAATTGGCATTTTCTAACCAAATCCACGATGGATTTAATTGGAAAAAGTCATCTTAGCGCATGACTTACCAAATCCAATCGGTTGTGTGTCGATACGACGACTCCGACCACCCTCCAACGGTGGTGACCGACAACCGGTAATTAATGAGTGGATGAGAGTGTTTTTGTAATTTTTAATATTTTTGTTATAGGGGTGTTTAGTAAATTAACAAACCTGTAAGATGTTTTTGTAATTTTCAAATCCTACCTCCTTATTACTTACGTTTTCAAAAATACTATCCAAAATATTAAAACAAACACACCCTTATACACGACATAAACAATACTTCCAATTCACGTCTATATCTTTATATATTTGGATCACTGATTTTGGCAGACCATCTGAGTAGACCATGTTTCGTCTAACTTCACAATAATGCAATGACCAAATAAAGTGTTAAAGACAGATTATAGTACTACAAAAGATCTCAGCATTTTAAGGCATGGCATGTATTTGTATGAGCTATATCCCAACATTAAAACAATCAAAAGCAACCAACATGGTTGCACCGAGACTCGCCCATGAATAGAAGTTCAATAAAGAAACATTTTCTTACTTAGATTGCCAAGCTGAAGCCTGAACAACGGAATAGATTACTTTATGTTGTGTGCATTAATGAATAGATATTGATCTCAACGGCACCATTGCCGTTTGCCCCTCACCTAATTTAATTTTGGCGAGCAAGCATCCTGCTTCATTTAAATTCTAGCGATCTTTCACCAACATCATTAAAAAAATTCAGTATATTAACGATCATCAATTTGCTTATAATAATGTTTACAATAACCAATATCAACTTACTCCAAATATTAGTCTAAAACAGTACAAAACAAGCCAGTCAATCAACAAACAGAAGTTATAAAGCATGCCCCTTCAACATTACAAAGTAAAATAACAAGGGTCAAATATTAAAATTTCAAAACGAACTAAAGGTGAGACGACTAACCTCTCACAAACAGAACAGTTACATATTAGCTTGTAGAGATCATACTACAAGAAGACACCAAAACACATAGGTTCTACAAATAACAACTCACAAGATATACCAGAAACCAGAGATGCATATTCAAGATGAATAAAAGACTAATGGCAGAACTTGGAAACTGATAACATGATTATCCAAGTTCACCATCCCACAAAATATAAACATTTCACTCGAGTAAAGAAGATCGAACAGAGGAACTTCCTCATTGTAAGGCCATTCAAATTCAGTTGGCACGGCTTCTAATGACATCAAGACCCATCTCAGTTGGATCGGTTGCTTGCAACTCTACCTGAATGCCATCAAGTTCTCTCTTAAATCTGTCTTTGGAGCTTGCATAAATCATCTTGCTTCTGACCCTTGACGTATCAGGGGACCTTCAAAGAAGTGAAACCCGATAAATAAAAAAAGAACAGCTAGATGAAAAGAACGTGTAAATACAGGGAAACTAACATTACCATGCAATAAAGAAGATCCTGCTTTTCTGAACATTCTCTGGTGTGAGAAAATCAAAATCATAGACAGCATAACGGCATTCATCAGCTGGAAGGGATGCAGTGAAATCCTCATAGCTTTGAGTTGGCTCACCAAGCTTCTCCACAATAACTTGCTTCTGTTTCTCCTCGATCTTGAAAACTATGAACCTATGGGTTCTTTTTGTCTTGAGCTCCAGAAACTTTAACTTGCAGTCATCATGCACAGCCATACCAGACGCTGCATTGGCCTGGAGTAGCACAAAATCTAAAGTCAACTCATGTCTTACTTTAAGTCATAAATATCTTTAACTGATGTTCAAAATCACTATAAGCATGATAAATCACACACAACATTATGCATCTTATAGAGTTTTCCCCCGAGATTGAAACCTCAAATGAGATCAATTAAGCAAAAAAACTATACTAAATTGTATAATTTTTATTTTTGCTTTTAAGTTTTCCTCCACGTGGGCTCTCTTTTTCCTCCTCCTATTTCCAAACAGTTAAAACAATCCTATCTTGTTAAATTAGGCATGCACGAACTCACAGGTACTGAGACAAACACATCAAATAGCCGAACAAATCAGATCCAAAAATTACAAATTCATAAAAACCTCAGATGAATTTCAAAGCCAGAAAAATCAATTAAATCAACAGATCGATAATATCTCAATCACTTAAATAAATAAAAATTAATTTAAAATCCATTTAATCATACGATGTTGGCAACAACTAATCATGAGTCACAGGTTTATTCCACATAAAATCAAGATCAAACCAGATCTACAAGCTAACAAACCAAAAATAACGAGCTGGCAGACCATAATTTCCCTCCAATTTATTAAATCACAAAAAATAGATAATACAAAATATGTTTAAAAATCAGATCCAACAATAACCAACTCAAAATAGTCTAGCAATCCACTTGGATTTGACTAATACACTAACCAAAATTATAGCAGAAACTGAAAGCTAATTAGTAATAATAAAAAAGAAAAAGAAAAAGAAAAAACTAACCATTTTTTCGGATTCTTTTTTAGGGGAAAATAAGAGAGAAGGACGATCGCCTTTAAAAGAGGAGAGAAAATGTAGAGAACCGAAGAGTCTCCTCCGATGACGAGGGCTAAGCAGCAATGTTGAGGCAGCTTATATGGGATGAAGTCTGGCAGGAGAGGAAAAATATCCTGGGATTATTGTATTCTAGATTTGCGTGTGAGTAAAAGTAGTAAAATCGCGTGGTGCCACGTCGTGTACGGTTAATAGAAGGCACGTTCTATCAATATCCACACTAAAGAGGAAGGAGTTTTTTAGCTTTAAAGAATGCGGCTTCGGCGCTTCGCTCTTCTCTTCTGGCTTTGAATTTGTGGATCAAGCTTGATGACACGAAACGACGACGTTAGTCTTTGTTTTACCTTTGACTGTGAGGACGCGTAGGTGTTAAGAAATTAAGAAACTCAAAAGATTTTTAAATGTTACTTGTTTGATTTTTAATTCTGATATGACATTTTTTGAATAATAAAAAATAAACAATAAATTTTATTAAAGAAAATATATTCAAACAGATAGTTTCTTTTTTTAAACTAAAATAATCTCGTATAAACTAAACAAATAAAAGTTTTAAATTTGTTTAAATCAAGATAAAATTTGTTTAATTCGTCAAAAAAGTTTATTTAACGTAGGAGTAGTTTTGAAACATTTTAAAACTTATGGGAGAAACTTGAACCCATAAATTTTTTTTTTTTTTGAGTTTATTTCAAGTATTAAAATTTCAAATATATGTATTTTATAAATTTAAAACCTTTTTTTGGTAAATAAAAACTAAAAAGTTCTTTTACATTTTCCTATCCAAGCAACTAACAGTTTTTTCGTAAAATAATAAGATATGTTTGATATAGAATTTAAATACAATTTTTTGTTTTTGAAAACAAGGGATATAACAAATCTTATGAAAAACGATTTTGATTAAAATGAGTAGAATTGTTTTCAAAAACAGTTTTCGAATACAATCTTAAGAACCAATTTAAAATTAGAAATCGTTTTCATGGTATTTTAAATTTTATATCGTATAAATTTTCAAATACTAAAAATATTAAAATATAACTCAAAAATTTGAATCGTATTTTAATTTTTGAAAATTATTTTTACATCACAAATTAAACAAACCCTTACATTTTCATAAACAATATATATATATATATATAAATTTCTTTTGAAAAATAAAAATAAATAAATTGAAGAGCCAAATAAAAGAAGCTAGTTGGGCCGAGTGGCTGGCTGAATAATTAGTGGGAGAGGAAATAGATAGATATTTGATTATTTGTCAGTCGTTGACATAATGGTTATGGTGTAGTTTTAATAATGGAGAATTTGGAACTTTCAATGAGACCATTAAACTAGTTAGTAGTTTCATATAATAAAAGTGTCGAAACACCTTGGATTGGGTCCATCTTCAAGATTCGCTCTCTATTTGTGCGTCAATCCAACGCTACCCCATTTTATAATTTTTGGTTTTCATAATTGAGTAAACACTTTTTCCCGCCCAAGGTTTGCCACCACAATTCCACCCAAAAAGTTTTAAAATAACACTTTCCCACCCAAAATTAATATTCTGATACCATCTAAAGCCAATTCTGACAGTAAAAACTCTCTCTGTTATCACCATTTGAACTTTCGATCTCTTCTCTACAAAACCCCCTCTCACTCCGACATGTGATTTCTCGTAGATTGTTAATCATCGCAAAGCTAGGATTACATGTTCTTAGCTAATTTTCAACTGATTTCGGTCGTGAATATTTAATCGATTACCACCATTTGATTCACTGGCTTCTACACTACAAAAATTCTCTTACCTTGGTTCTTGATAAATCGCTAAACAACAGTTGAGAAAGTGAAATGTATTTTGAGTATTAACAGAATATAAATATTGGGGTAGGAAAGTGATATTTTAAAACCTTTTGGGTGGAACAGGTGATTAAGACAAACCTTGGGTGGGAAAAAAAGTCGTTTACTCTTTCATAATTGCCTTTCAAATTTATCCTGCTCCAGCTCCGCTGCAACTGTTTCAAATGATTGAAAACAATCGTTTTAAAGTAGGTGAAATAGTTTAAAGTTTAAACCAAATTAAAATTGTTTTCTTTTAAATCCCACCTTTCCTTTTTCCTTTTTCCCTTTTTTCTTCCTAATCTCTTTTCTTTCCATCACATGTAAAAACATTAAAGATGGTTTGATCTAAAAAATTAAGGATCCGTTTAATGTAATTTAAAAATAAGATTATTATTTTTAATATAAGTTATGAGATTTATTTCCCTTATACTGAAAATGAGTGATTTATTTTAAATTTTATAAAAGAAATTTAGAAATACAAACTAATTTCTAAATTATACTAATATTAGTAAAATAATGATTTAACAAAAATGGAAATAGTAGCCTTAAGGTACAGATTCTTACCGCCAGACACGGTATTCCTGCTACCACAACAAAAACTATGGCACGTGTGATGCACATGCAAATGATGGCTAGTTTCTATATTTAAATCCACAAAGCACATGGTCATAATTCATATAAAATTGTGAAATTGGAATTGACTCCAAAACGGTGAATGGTAAAGAATTAAATTAAGCGAAGGGAACTTGTTTTGTTTGAGATCTCTATGGCCGTGCGGTTCGGGTCCACCCGGAATCTTTCGGATAAAAAAAAAAAAAACATAAAGTATGTTAAAATATAGGAACGACAAAATTGGAAAGTGGTAATGCTACATTCAGCCCATCAACAGCCTACCAAATTTCAGTGTGGAATTCTAATAAGTCCATTCTGTCAAGCTCACAATTTGAAGAAGTCGGTGTTTTGTCTAGAATTTCTCACTTATAATTGGTCAAAGAGACTATCTCAAATCATAAGCTTTAAAAAAAAAAAAATTAAATAGTTTTATTATTTTTAAAATACAATACGATTTAAAATAAACTATTTTATATAAAAAAATCATATAAAGTGTTTAAATTTTAAAAATAACTTTGTTATGTTTTTTAAATTTGACTTGATTTATTCTTATATATTAAAGCTTTTCTTTTTAAATTAAAACTATAAAGGTTTTTGCATTTTCCTTACTAAACAATAAACTTTTTCATAAAAATTATATTTTTATAAGCTCTACTCCAATATGCTCTTCTTCTATAAGCTCTACTCAAATCAATTGTATTATAAGTACCTGTAATCTGACAGATAAAATTTCTAAAAATTTATATTTTAATAAATTATAGAAATCTAACCCATAAATAAATACTTTGAAACTTTTTCTATTCATAGAGGGTTTCCATTTTGTGGTCCTTGATATAAAATGCCCCGTTAATATAATATACCCTTATGGGGGCGTTTAGATCATATAATGTTTTATTATAGGGTATATTATATTAACGGAAAAAAATATCACCTTGAAGATTACTGTGAATATTTAGAAAATGTTTTGGCTAGTTTGAATAAATTGGTGAATAATATGTTTGGTTGGGAGGATAAATGGAGAGGTATGTTGCATAGATTACTAAATTGCCTCCTTTTTAAATATTAATATAATAGTATTTTTTTATTATTATTTTTTGAATAATTTTTTAACCCTCTACATTTGAAATTTTGCTAAAACACCCCAGCGATATAAAACTTTAATTTATAGCAAAATCACCCCCACCCACCCCAAGCCACTGTCGGTAGTCGACGGAATGGTGCACGATTGGCCGTATATGGCCCGCCGTGCGCCGACAAAGCCAAAAGTAGCCATGGATCACAATCCATGGCTTTTTCACGGCCAGATCTATGGTCATTTCACGGCCAAAGATGTGGCTGTGAAACGGCCATAGATCTGTGACATTTCACAACCAAAGATCTGGCCTTTTTCACGACCACAGAAACGCCAGATCTAGATCCATGGCTAGAAAAGGCCTTACCGACGCACGACCAGCCAAATCTCGCCGGTCTTACACCATTACGGCGACTGACACCGGCAATCGACGGTGATGAGTCACGACTGACAGTGGTTGGGGGTATTTTGTTAACTTTTAAACTTTTTTGTGACTAGGGTGTTTTAGCTAATTTCTCACATGTAAAGGGGTTGGATAATTGTATTTGGTAAACATTTGAGGGCAAAATGGGAAGAAAAATCATATTACCCTAGTAATGTTTTAATAATAGTCTCTAGCAAGGTAATAAGAATACCCCCCACATTACCAACAGTAACCACTATTTGCAATAAAAGGTTACCGTAATATTTTATTACTTGCAAACCAAACACAGGATTCTTGCAAAATAAACTAATATTACCCCCATTATTTATTTTCCCCTGATCCAAACGGCCCCTATAATAAAACATTATATGATCCAAACGCCCCTAAGGGGTAATCAGATAACCTTGTCAAGGTGCTATTAAGAGATTACCGAGGTAATATAATTTGTATACCTATTTTGCCCTTAATGAAATACAATTTCGGACACAATTGCCTTCAAATGTCTACCAAATAACCATTAGCCCAGACCCCTACATTAGGGGTGTAAACGAGTTGAGTCGAGCTAAGTTTTCGACTTAACGAGCTTGACTCGTGTGCTACAAGATCGAACTCGAGCCGGCTCGCGAGCTCCTGAAATAGAAAATGAAGAATTGTTAGCATTGACCCAATTCATCAATGTGTTAGTAATTAAACATTCATGAAAACCAAAATGGATTCAAAGCTCACTAAGATACATATTCAAAATTCTTCCCAACTCATGAAATATTTTAAACAAAAACGGTTTACTCACCAAATTCTTCCTTCAATTTCCGACTGGCGACGGCAAGAACACGTGATTAGGGGCGTCACTTTCCCGATGGACAGAAGATTTGAGGGTTAAAGTGGATTTGGGGGTTTATGATTTGCATCGATTTGGGGGTGAAGAAATCATTTCAATGTTTGCGCGACGGAGTCATCGTTTCTTCGACTAGTTTTTCAATCGGTGATGGCAACGAGGCGGGATGAAATTGGCTAATTCACGGTGGAGAGATTTAGGGTTCGTTTGGTTAGTGTTTACGATTTTGGGGGAGAAAGTGTCGTGTTTTATTATTTTTTAGTTAGGAGTTAAATGTCATTTTTTGAAGTTTTTTAAAGTGCAATTTTACTATCTGCCCCACATGGTTTATAAAACTAACCCAAAGGTCCCTACGAG